ATCCGTTGCGCAAACCCTAGAACTGATCTCTTAGGAATTAGATTCGCTCTTGAGATCCCAGGAAAACCCAACAGAACACGCTCCCATCCTTGACGTCCTCAAGCGTCTTGAATAGGTTGCGGTCTTTGCAAATGTGTCTCGTAGCGCCCGAATCGATCCACCAAGTGTTATCACTCTCCTGTACATGATTCAACTCAGAAATCATAGCCACAAAATTCATAACCGAGTTTGTGTCAACAAGAGCGATTGTACCTTGGTTGGGTTGGCCTTGGTCATGTTTGCCTTGGCCTTGACCCTTCTTCCTATTCTTGTAAGAATAGCAATCCTTTTTAAAGTGTTCGGGCTTGTTGTAGAACCAACAACTCCCAGTCGGCTTAGGCCTTTTGTTTGAGTGGCCTTTCGGGGATTTGTTTGGCCTCTTTTGGCCCCGGTTCTTCTCTTCCTCCACCACATGAACCGTAGTGGACGAAGAAACATGTGTGTCTTTCTTGTCATGCATTCGAAAGTTCTCCTCAATCCGAATATGCGACCTCAATTGCTCAAGGGTCATATCCTCCTTCCTATGTTTCAAGGAACGTTTAACGTCCTTCCAAGACGGTGGTAATTTATCAACAATGGCGAAACGATCGGTTCGGCATCGCAGAAGTTGGAAAATTGCTCAGAAAGTGGAACTGATCGGTTCAGTCATGCACGAAACGATCGGTTCGACCCCTAGATTCAGGAATACTTCCAATTTTGCCCAAACCGAAGGGAAATAAGAGGGGATAGCCTCTAGGTCAAAAATAATTCAAGCTTTACACAGAGAACACGCCAAGAGCACAAGAAAAGGGGGCGATTATCAAGAGGCAAGAAATCGGAACAGAAGACGGAGATCACGAAGTCGAGAAATCGACTAAGCGTTCCTCTTTCCTTCTATTTTACGATGTTTTGTATTATTGTTATGAACCCTGTCGTCTCGATGTTTAGCGAGTAGTTCCATAGCTGTAGGTTAGGGATTTGCTATGTAGGGATCTTTGGTTTTAATTCTAGACTTTGTGGAATTATTTATTCTATTCAGTTTATTGGATTGTTCTTAATGCTTTTAATCTCGTTGGTCACTTGATTGAATGAACTTAGGGTCTTAATTCGCATAGAGATATGGGATTCTAACCTGGAAATAATTCAATAAATAGAACAAGTATTGCATCGAGAGATGGATATTTGCCTAGGGGTTATGATAGCGTTCGTTTATGCATCCAGGGTTTTAGACTATTGAATCGAGAGATTAGTAGGATAAAGCCTGGATAGTGAGGTTAGACTCGAGAGAGTTAATCTCTATTTTAGAGCTTGAATTCCCTGAATTGGATAGATAAACCACTTAGTTTGCATCTTTTGAAAGATCCTTGCATGTAAAGCAATCTCGAAGTCTGCAGTGTTTTGCCATTGATAGTTTATGTAAATATAAATGTGGGTCTCGATACAGCGAGAAAGAACAACAAAACAAAGAAATCGAAATAAAAAACGAAAGAACCCGGATATGATCCTCTAGACGTGATTTCACTTTCCTAAAACGTTATTCCCTCTCCACCGAGCAAAGGAGAATCCCGAGAATACGTTTAGAGAGACAAAGAAGATCAACAATGATTAATTCGCTCGTCAAAAGTTGCCCAAAATAGAAAAACCGCGAATGAGAATGAACAAGAAAAGTTGGAGAAGAGTTTGCAAAATTCTTCACCAAAATGGCTCCCAAATCTCTCAAAAATCAATTAGATTTCGTCTCATATGTGTTCAGACGTCTAGGAATGTTTTTAACACTCCAAAAGTCAAAAGGTGCAAAGACATCGGAAGTTTTTTCCGAACGGTCACGATTTTTCGTTCATTTTGAACAACTCACAAAAATTAGGCGGGTCGCTCATTTTCCCGAGCGGTTGATCATTTTCTAGTTTTGTTCATCAGAGAAAATGAGATACCCGCTCATTTTCTCGAGCGGTCGCTCATTTCCCCCAGTTTTGTTCATCAGAGAAAATGAGCTACCCGCACATTTTCCCGAGCGGTCGCTCATTTTCCCCAGTTTTGTTCATCAGAGAAAATGAGCTACCCGCTCATTTTTCCGAGCGGTCGCTCATTTTCTGAGCGGTCACTCATTTTTCCGAGCGGTCGCTCATTTTTCCCAGTTTTCTTCATCAGGAAAAACGAGCTACCTATAATACCTTCCGACTAATCCTTAACACTTAACCAATTCACGACACGTCTTTTACAGGCATTTTACTCCTCCACCATACTTGTAATACACGTGAAACATGAATCCTTTGAGAGATTTTAAAGTCCACCAATCTACTCTAAAATAACTAATAGTTTATCGTTTGTTTTTATTATTTGCTTTTGATACATTGTCATCATTCTCATATTTTCTCTAGATCTAGATTTGGATTGGAATATGATTCAGTTGTTTACTTGTCCCTGTGTTCGACCCTAGTTGCTACACACGATCCGTACACTTGTGGAATTTGTTGAGTGTAGGAATTTATCACTTGATCGAACTTTATTCACATAGATTTGTGACATCACTAGGAACCCGTAGCGACGAAACCCAACAGATTCCCCATACATCAAACGGTTCTATCTCCAGAATATAGTTTTGTGGTGCTTCATGACGTCTAGAGATATTTTCCGTTATTTGGCATGAGTCACAGGTGCTGACGAATCGGTAGATGTCTTTAAACATCGTCGGCCAGTAAAAACTCGCTTGTAAGACTTTCGCCGCTGTTTTAGAAGCAGTGAAGTGTCCTCCGTAGTTTGACGAATAGCAATGGTGGATCACCTTGGGTACCTCTTCTTCAGGAATACATCGCCTAAATAGTCCATTGTTTTTCCTCATGAATAGATATGGTTCGTTCCAAAAATAGTTTCAGGTCTCTTTCATGAATTTCTTTCTACCATTATAGTCCAGATCAGGAGGGAGGATATTTGCCGCCAGATAGTTAACTATATCAACATACCAAGGGATAATATCATTTCTCGTGATGGCAAAAACATGATCATCCCTCATAACTTCATCGATAGGGTCGCTACTTTCTGTCATGATCCTGGATAAGTGATTAGCGACCCCATTCTCAGTCCCTCCCCTATCTCTTATTTCCAAATCGAATTCTTGCAATAGGAGTATCTAATTAGGCGTGGTTTTGCGTCTTTCTTTGACAGCAAATATAGTAAGGTTGCGTGATCTATGTATACTATCACTTTGGAGCCTACTAGATAAGACCTGAATTTCTCAAATGCGAACACTACTGCTAAGAGCTCTTTTTCTATGGTAGTATAGTTAACTTGAGCTTCATCTAGTGTTTTACTAGCATAATATATGGCATGTAGTTTTTTTTATCTTTTGTTTTGCCCTAACATGGCTCCCACAACGGAGTCACTCGCGTCACACATCAGTTCAAATGGTTTGTTCCAATCAAGGGGCTGGATTACTGGGGGTGAGATAAGCGTCTTTTTCAGCGTATTAAATACTTGATAACATTCAACAGAAAAATTGAATATAGTGTCCTTACACAACAGTTCAGTAAGAGGTCGCAAAATTTTGGGAAAGTCTTTAATGAACCTAAGGTAGAAACCTGCATGACCCAAGAAACTTCAGATTGTCTTAACATTGTGCAGAGGGGGTAATTTCTCAATTACCTCGATTTTCGCTCTATCTACCTCTATCCCTCTTGATGATACTTTGTGTCCTAGTACAATACCTTTTTGTACCATGAAATGACATTTTTCCCAATTAAGAACTAGATTCGCTTGTAAGCATCGATCAAGTACTCTCTGAAGATTCGCCAAACACGCGTCGAATAAGGATCCATGAACGGAGAAATCGTCCATGAATACTCCCATTATGTCCTCTATAATGTCATAGAATATTTCCATCATGCATCGTTGGAAGGCAGCATGTGCATTGTAGAGGCCAAATGGCATTCTCCGATATGCGAATGTTCCGTATGGACACGTGAATGTTGTCTTCTCTTGGTCTTGTGGATGGATCGGAATCTGAAAGAATCCCAAGAATCCATCAAGGAAGCAAAAGTATGAATGAATGGCTAGTCTTTCCAGCATCTGATCGATGAATGGAAGTGGAAAGTGATCATTTCGAGTGTTGGAGTTCAATTTCCTATAATCGATACATATACGCCACCCAGTGATGGTTCGTATCGGTATTAACTCGTTCTTTTCATTCGTGATCACTATCATTCTTCCTTTCTTAGGTACCACGTATATTGGGCTTACCCACAGGCTATCTGAAATGGGGTAAATGATACCAGCGTCTAGCAGTTTCAGTACTTCCTTTTTTACTACTTCCTTCGTTGCAGGATTGAGTCTGCGCTGATACTCTACCGAGGACTTATCTTCATTTTATAAGTGGATATGATGCATACACAACGAGGGGTTTATCCCTTTATATCCTATCGCTGTTCTGTATTGCCTGAGGAGGTTCAATAATTTCTCAACTTGATCTTCCGTTAGGGCAGTATTCACTATAATCGGGTAGGTTTTCTTTTCCCCTAGGAACACGTACTTCAGTCCAGAAGGCAAGGATTTCATTTCGACCTTGGGAGTTGAGTCTACATTCCAATCACTCATTTCTCTTGGTTCCGTTATGTCGGAATCGTCATCGAACTTGAGTTTGTTCAGCGATGGGGAGTCTTCTTCGAGACTTCCCTTATCATTTTGCACATAGTCTACTCTGTAGAGAGCTCCTAAAGCTACTTCCAGAGGATCAAAGTCGCGAAATTCTTCCAAGATGCTAAATCATCTAGCGCGTCGATGTAACAGGTAGAGTCTACGGACATTGGTTGCTTAAGGTTCTTATCCAGAGTGAATTCAACCATTTCACCTCCGATTTTCATTGTTATCATACCTGCTCTTACATGTACAATCACATCAGCGGTGTTCAGAAAAGGGCGACAAAGGATAATGGGTATTCTTGTATCTTCGTTCATGTCCATTACTACAAAATCAACCGCTACGTAGAAGTCTCATAACTTTAATGGCACATCTTGTAGTATCCCAAGAGGATATTTGATCGATCGATCTGCTAATTGTAATGCTATCCTTGTCAGTTTGAGTTCTCCTACGTTTAGTTCCTTGTAGATTGAGAGTGGCAAAAGGCTAACACTTGCACCAAGGTCGCATAACGCTCGGTTAATCGTTACATTGCCCAACTTGCAGGGTATCGGGATGCTTCTCGGATCGATCATCTTAGGGGACAGGTTATATTTCAAGATGGCACTGCACTCTGGACTAAGGGTTACTATTTCCGTGCCGATTTTCCTCTTTTTCGCTAGAATGTCCTTCAGGAACTTAGCGTAGGAGGGCATTTGAGTGATGACTTCGTGGAATGGTATAGTAACCTCCATCTTCTTCATCATCTCTGCGAATTTTGCGAATTGGCTTTCCTCATTGCAGTTTTTTAACCGTTCTAGATATGGTATACAAGGTAGCTTCGCTGCAGAGGGGACATAAGCAGGGATTCCTTCATCTTGATCTCCAGGACGAGAGGGTATTATTTCTAAGGTGGTAGTTTCGTCGACTTCCATATTCTTAGAGTTGGAACATTCTCGATTTCTACCCCGCCCCTTGTTCTTTCCTCTAATTGTCTACCACTTCTCAGTGCTATAGCATGAGACGGTTTCTCAGCTATATGGGCTACTTGTGCATCTAGAACGAGCAAGTGGGTTTCAGTGTTGCTTACCCTCTCTTTCATTAACTTCTGGTCATTGTTTATCTTGTCCAGTTGAATCTTCAAGGACTGTTGCCCCTGAACTAGCGTCTTCAAGAGGGACATAACATTATCTTGTTCATGTGATGGAACTTGTTCTATCGAGAGTAGTTGAGAAAGAATAAGCTTGGTTGACTCAGTTTCAACACTTGTCAACGCATCAAGTATTTCTTTTTCTGAATGAGTGCATTCAAGTCGTACTGCCTCGTGACCTTGAACCAATTCAGGTCTAAGATTGGCTAAATCTGATCGAACTAATTCGAGTTGATGAACCTCCTCATCTTCTCCTTGGGGCACTAGACAATCGAATACGTGTTCATTAGCCATTCTATCAATTTGCTCCTCTAACTCACTAAAGTGCATGTTGTATATGTTCCCTTTACATGCTGCGTTGATCCAAAATCTCGTTTCTTCTCTTAGATTAATGAGAAAATTTGTTATCAGGTATTTTTTATTTAGCCCGTGATGTGGACACGATCGCTGGTAACCCTTGTGTCCTCTCCCATGCTTCATATAAGCTCTCGTATTTTTCTTGTGAAAAGAGTTGATCTTTCCTCTTATGAACATCGTCTTTTCATGAGAGAAAACCCGCACCATAAATTTATTATGCAGTTGTTCCCAAGTATGAATGGAATTTGGTGGAAGCGTATAGAGCCACTCCAAAGTTTTTTCTGATAAGGAGAAGGAAAAAGCTAAAAGTAATAATGCTTCCTCAAAAGTCCCGTTGGGTAGCTTAAGCGATTAACATTGCATCTTAAAATGGTTTAAGAGCAGGCTAGGGTCTTCTTCTAGTGTACCCTTGAAACTCGAGATGGAAAGCATTTGTAAAAATGTTGATTTAAGGCCGCATTGACTCCTGTCAATGTTTGGTCTCCTGATGCATGAGAGTAATGAAGTGTGTTTTGGAGCAGTGTAGTCTCCAAGAGTAAGCGTTTCATTTCGCTCGACTGCTCTTGGTGGAGTAGCGTTATGTGCCGGATGGTCGTCAATATTTCTGTTGTCGTCCATTGCTTCCAATCTCCTTCGTTGCCTTAAGAATTAAAGTGTTCTTACGATTTCTGAATCAGGAGGAAGTAGAGTTTGACTTCCACAGCTCCTGGTCATAAACCGAAATAATTAGAGTTTTGATTCCCGAAAGAGGAGAAACTGATGGTGATGGAAAGAAAGTTGATGGTGGTGGAAAACTAGAATATAAATCGGCACCAAGACTGAATCTCAATCCCCGGCAATGACATCAAAAACTTGATTGTGCCAATCTAGGTGAGTAGGTGGTCAAGTAATAAAAACCTAGACTAAGCTGATTCCGCAAGGGTACGGATTCGATGTAGTACAAGGGTCGAACACAGGGATCGAGAGGTGATGGATTCGATCGTGATTCTAGTTATGGCGAAGATCATTTGCAGATTGATTAGTTGGTTGGTAGAAAAACTCTATAACTAAAGACACTATAGGTTCGGGGATTCACCGTTGCTATGGATGGTTCTTAAATATCTAGATTGAATTGCAGTTTTTGATAGATTCGGAAAACTCTAGCTCCTAAACTAGAACGCGTCCGGGTCAGGGATCATCGTTCTTTAGCTAATGCTTTCCTATCAGCTTTCGCATTTCTAGGTCCACATTAGAAGCATTAATGTCCACTATCATTGTTCCTAGGTCGAATTAAGAATTCTTTATCAAGTCCCACCTATGCGTTCAGAATTAATAATTGAACCTATCTTATGAACAAATTCTGGTTTAACTAATCCAAATCCCTTTGTAATTAACTAAACCAAATTCAATTCATATAGGTGATCAATCTAATAAAAGCATCAACCTCGTCTCGAGATGCAACTAACCGAGTTGCAACTATATCATCAGCTTCGACCAATCCATCTTCAGATACATCCGAATTTGTGTTAGCCTCAAGAATCACTTCTCCATCATCCAAACATTGTAACTCACAGGGCTTAGGATGCGTAAATGTTGGCTCATCCAATTTATCTTTCATCACAACAATACCAGCATTTGAAGCATTTTGTTCATCAAACATATGTGCAATTTCACTTGACTCCGATTGAACTGCAACATTGGCCTTGATCTCAATTTCTCCACCCTCATGAAGACTCTTTGATTGCCAATTTGTACATTCACTTCCAGAGTATCCTCTGCCCAAACACATATAACACGTACCTTTGCTTCTTGGCTTGAAAACTTTAGATTTGGTCATGATCTTTGCATTGGAATCAAACCATTCTTCCTGTGAAAAGTTTGGTTGTGTGCTAGATGAACTAAAACCAAATTTCTAGTATGCTTTTCTCGCAATTTCTTCTCTCCCATGAGAAACAATTGGATGAGTTGTACTTCTCCTTAACATATTTTGTCGTTGTCGGTGTTGTGCGGCATATGTCTCATTCTCCATTCGATCTATACGTTGTAGATATGGCTCGATGCGCTGAAGAATACGTTCAAGATGGGCCTTCAAAGCTTGCATCTGCAATGGATTCAAACCATTTCCACCTCAATTTTGCTCCATGTTTTGATAAGTTTGTTCAACCATCGCAAATTCCCTACAAATAAAACGTTAGCAATAAACAAAAGTAGACAAGGAAGTAAGAAGATGTAAGAACCTCACAAATCACTCAGAAAAGTGTTTCACTCAATTTGTCACTCAACTCTCCCGTTTCTCTTATGAATCCATGTGCAAACTAATTAAGGAACTCAATCAGATGCAACAACAATGGATTTCAAATATCAATTCAGTAAACCAAGTCAAAAGATGAGTAAGAGTGATTCTAAATCAGAACGTCAATATTCAAAACAACAAAACTCAAATGACTCAAAGATGAAACTTCGACTACGACTCAAACGGAAATTTTGGACTACGACTCAACCGGAAAATTGACTCCGATACAAATTCGAATCAACTTCCAATTTTTTTTTCTTGTTTTTTTGTTTTGTTTTCTTTGATCTTTTTTTTTCTTTTTTTTTTTTGCTCAACTTTGTTTTCAGATTTTTTTTCTTTCGATTTTTTTTTGTTGATTCCTTTTACACTTTGAACTACAACAAAATCAAAAGTCGAAAATCAATAATATGATAAGAAGAAATGACAAAATAAAATAAGTTAAGATAAGATGAAAAATAGATAAAATGAGTAAAGAATAATCCTAATAGGAAAATCAAGGCTCCGATACCAAATGATATGACCACAAGATTGATAGATTTTCCGATAGGCGGTGGATGGATTCCCTAAACCTCTAAGCAACTCGCAAACGAAACTTAAGCAAGTGTTCGAGACGAACGGTCTTAAACCCCGAGTGAACTTAGTTTAGAAACGTAGGGTGAGTGAAAAGCCACAAGTGTTGTGCGTAATCAACACTCGATAAGTCAAGATTGAACGCCACAGATGAAGATCCGATAAATTCAGAAATTAGTTCTTAAGGAACTCTAAGAGAAACCTTTCAAACATATATTTCAAAAGTTGTTGTTCAAATATGATTTGTGATCTCTATTTATAGATGACATTACATGAAATTTAACAAAATCAACATAAATAGACACAAACAAAGAGGTTTAGATGTGTAGTCTTCAAGAAAGTCATAATTGACTTTGTGGTCTTCAAGGATGAAGTTAGAAAGACATTTTGACCAAATTTAATGCCATTTTCGTCATCCTTATTGGGCTTGAATTTTGGACTTGATTTATGGGTCTTCCAAGAATGAAATTAAGTGGATAATGGGCCGAACTTGTGGTTGATCTAAACTCTTACACTTTTCCATGTATTCTTGACCTAAACATTCAAGAATAAGGCAATTTGGCACAACCTGTAGCTTCTTGGCACGTGCTCTCATCATTGGTCCAATTGGCTCGGTGAGTTCTCCCGCTTTCTCCATTCCGAAGCATTCTTCCAAATCATCTCAAATGGTGTTGCTTTCGGTATCCACATCACGTGTTCTATTTACTAAGTTAGTTCCAGATTATAATCCCTATGCGAATTAAAACCTGAAGTTCATTCAATCAAGTGGACAACAAGATCAAACGCATTAAGATCAACTCAATAAACCAAATGAAATAAATAAATCCACAGAGTCTGGAATTAAAAACCAAAGATCCCTACATATCAAATCTCTAACCATAACAAACGGAACTGTTCGCTAAATATCAAGACGAAAGGGTTCATATCAATAATACAAAACATCGTAAAATAGAGGAAAGGAAGAATACTTAGTCGATTTCTCGAATTCCTAATCTCCATCTTCTACTCTGATCTCATGCCTCTTGATAATCGCCCCTTTTTTTGAGCTCTAGAGTGTGTTCTCTGATAAAAACTTGAATAATTTTTTACCTAGATGCGTTCTCCTTTTATTTTCCTTCGTTTTGGGCAAAATTGGAAGTATTTCCAAATTTGGGGATCGAACCGATCGTTTCAGAAAAGCCAAACCGATCAGTTCAACTTTCTGAACAATTTTCCAATTTTTGCGATGTCGAACTAATCGTTTTGCCAAGCCTAAACCGGTCTTTTTATGCTTTTGGGCAGTTTTGACGGGCTTCACAAATCTGCTCGTAACTTCTTGCTCTGATATCGGATTTAGGTGATCTTGATGTCTATGCATAGGTATTGAAAGGTCAATTATATAGAGAATGCATGATTTGGACTTGTAGAATGAAAGTTAT